CACGTTAAAGATCCCTTGGTGGTCTAAAATCGATAAGAGTAGGCTTCGGCCGCCACCCGGGCAAAATTCAAAATTTCCTACCAACGAAAAAGTATTATGTGTGTCCCGCGCGCTCATATGACCTTATGCAGTTGCGAGCGCCGTAAAACCCTATAATAAACAAACAAACCGTCTCTGACATTATTATCACGATCCCATGCACACTATGAGGAGATATTAACTCTTTCTGTAGCTTACTTTAATACAATGGAGCCATATGTTTAGTATGCTTAATATCGTTTGGTGGAGCATGGTGCAGCACCAGTTAAATTGTATGTTATGGTCGTAAGAAAAACAAACCATTAGAAGGAAAATGGAATAAATATATTGTGTCCTCTTCGGGGAAACAAACATGCACATCCTGTACTAAAATATCATTAACATACAAAACGAGTAATATGCACTTCATGTCTTGTGATAATAATATATTCAAGATTCAAAAGCACAATAGTCATGATTATAATTTATGTCTGGGTAATAAATGCAGGTGATTTAGTTGAGGGAAAAATGTATAGGGTAGTGAGAAATACAGATTGATCTGATGTGATGTTTGTGAATGTAAAAAATAGAGCGAAATACGTAACCTGCTTAGCTACATAATTGAGAAATGAGCCAAAACGTTTATAAAGGACAGACAAACGGCGCAAACTAAAGTCAAGACGAAATTCGTGTGAGGACTGGAGGCTGTGTTGCAGCCGTCGGTATAGCAAATCTCTGCGCAGGTGTGGTAACCAGGGAGGCTGTCGAAACATCCGTTTCTGTCTGAGCTTGCGCAGCTACGAATGAACATGTGAATAGCTTCTGTGAAATAGATAGCAAATATAGGGATACAAATTAAACATGGGCAATTTTTAATGATGTAAAGGAACAATATAAAAAGATGAAAAGATATCTAGACAGACAGAAAGAAAGATACTTGCCGATCGATACACGTGAGTTTGTGAGTGAGTCAGTGAGTGAGTGAGTAAGTGAGAGAGTTGGTAAGTCATTCAGACAATCAGTGTGTCATTCAGTCTGCCAGTCAGTGTGTCAGTCAGTCAGTCAGTCAGTGTGTCAATCAGTGTGTCAGTCAGTCAGTTAGTCAGTCAATCAGCCAGTCAGTCAGTCAGTGTGTCAGTCAGTCAGTCAGTGTGTCAGTCAGTCAGTCAGTGTGTCAGTCAGTCGTCAGTTAGTCAGTCAGTAAGGCAGTCAGTTTGTCAGTCAGTCAGTCAGTCAGTCAGTCAGTTAATCGGTCAGTCAGTCAGTTAATCGGTCAGTCAGTCAGTTAATCGATCAGTCAGTGTGTTAGTCGGTCAGTAAGTCAGTCCGTCAATCACTGTGTCAGTCAGTCAGTGTGTCAGTCAGTCAAAGTGACAGTCAACCAGTCAGTCAGTAAGCTGTCTGTCAGTGAGCCTTTCAGTCAGTGAGTCAGTCTGCCTGTCAATCAGTAAGAAAAACGACAAAGGAGACAGCTAAAAACAAAACACCGAGGAAAAAAAAACAAGAACACAGATAGATAAACAGACAAACAGACAGAAAGAAGGGACTTAGTATGTAGATGTGAATCTGTATACACGTGCTTATGAATGTTGTGGGTGTATGTTTGTTTGTAGAAGGGAAAGAAGAGAGATGGGGAGATATTACACAAAGGGACTTTACAAAGACTGGTAAAATGAAACACAGAACCAGAAAGACGGTTGGACAGACGGGGTAAAAAGAGTCATTGGAGGCTCATAGTACGCTCTTCACCCCACAAAGAATCTATGTACTCAAATGATGTATTTGAGAAAAGACGCTGGGGAGAAGGAAATAGAAATGGGACCAGCAGAAATTGAACGGAAATATTATCATAGAGAGAGACGAAATATAAGTAGAGTTTTTAAAAAAAGAACACAAAAAAATAACCAAACAAAAGAAACAATGACAAAAACTATAAATGGGGTGGGGGGATAATTAATGTCAAGATGAAACACCCGGGTCTCAAAAGACGTCCACAGAGTGTAGAAAAACGCAGGGTAGAGTGACATTATGGGCGAAATAAAACAATTGCCGTTAGACAGCAATTAGTGCTCGGCATTCTTGTTTGTTCACTTTGTATGCCCTGATGTAAAGAAAAAAGCAACCTACAGCAAACAGTTAAACAAGTCTTTTTCAAGCTTCTTTTCAGAGACAAAAAGAAGCTTCGTATGTCGAGCAGAAAACACAAGAATAATCGGTTGAAATAATAAGAATTCGAAATTGTCATTTCTTTAATAATTCCCCTGAGATTTCTTTCAATCAATACTGATAATGATAATAGCCTAATAATAATAATAATAATA